TGAAATACGAGCCTGGAAGAAGAGAAGGTGAAGCAAAATGGGTGACGATTCTTCAAATAATTGCTTTTGTTCTATGCATTGTCCCGATTTCTGTGGAAAACATTTTAGCGTCTTTCGTTCCACATATAATGCCCGGAGCTTTGAAATACTTGTTTACTTGTCTCGCTCAAGCGTATTGCGCGATGTCTGCCATTCTCTATGGCCTCACAAACAGAGAAGTTCGTCTGGCGTTCAAGTGTTGCTGTTATCAGAAAACCTTTGTGATTCAAGGCCAGCCACGGAAAAAACGAACACGAGAGAAAATGGGCGAGGGCTGTTACCGTATGGGAACAAAAGATGAATCCTTTGTTATTCAGCTGGCAGATCAGTCATGCGATGAGCTCACAGGAGCAAAAGATCTCGACTACGCTGGGCGTGAAAGATTTGTTCGATTCACTGGTGTATCTACGGACTTTTCTACGAATGCCGCAATTGATGACGTTTCGCTCCCGCAGAGAGCTATCGTTAAAGAGAAAAGACCGATAACTACTGAGTTTGCGCCAATAAGGAGGCATTCTACACTCAGAAAACAAGACGAAGAAGCATCTAGAGCTAGACGAAAATACGTCGACAGCACGAAAGTTCGATTTGAAGCTCAATATACCGACAAACAACGGAAGAAGTACATAGCAACTCCGTCAATAAAGCGCATGCGTCAGATCAAGAACTCGATGTCCAACATGTCCGAAATCGATCTTCAATCCAGTTTAGCAAGTTTAAGTGGATATGAGTTTGAAACACAGAAACACAAAGCGCCTCATTTTACAAGTTACAGCAATCCCATGCGGTCAACAGGATTCAGACAAGTGTTGACTGGTAAAGGCAAGAGAACGCGCACGTACTCCCTCGACAGAAGCGAAAAATACAAACCTACTACAAGGGCATTCATGGAGAAACGGTTCAGCATAGATAGTGATAAAGCCATAAGGAATGGAAACAAAATGTAACAGTCTATGTGCAGGAACGGCCGCTACTCAACCACAGCGGAACATTCGCCAACGGTCAGCTCCTGTACTGTACACGGACACTTATTCATGGTCCCAGCCAGATAAAAGTACTGCATTTATAACCTTCCCTAGTCGGGTCCCACGCCTCTCCCAAGCGCTAGCGGACACTTTCCTTTGTCGCCAGCAAATCCGCATATGGGAGGTCCGATCTGATTTTTAGGCTGGCTAGACTTGAGTTCTTAAACTTCTGTACAATAACTATAAGTTGTTCAGTTCGTCTCAGATCGACAAAGATCGAAGAATTTTAGTGAGCTAGCCCACGTTCTGAGAGACCCAGTCTGCTATTCGAAACCCTTTTTCCACGTAGCTCTACAGAGATGCAAGAGCTGTATCCCATTGGTTGTTACTTGCGCGCGAAAATTCAAACTCGAGAAACAAACAATCAGAGACGCTACGCGGATCTCCTTAGAGCTACGTAATCAGAATGGAATTTCTAGAGTCCAGTGTCAGACGTGTCTTGAACTAGGGAAAAAGACGAATATCAACTTTATCTCGACAATTAAGCTTTTATTCTTTATTTACACTGTATATATGGATAAGTGTTTTAATTTTTTGCACATAATTACAACTTTTTGTGATGAATCTTATTTCGGAAACACTGTTATTCGTCGTCAGCTACATTAAATGAACAATGTCACTACAAATCTCTTGAATGTTTCGAAGATATGATAGCTAGACGATTGACATAGCAAAAGCCACGTATCTTAAAGTTTCCCCTTAAAAGAGGCGGTCATGTTTAAGCTTTAAGTCGTCAAAAAGGTGTTTGGAAAAGACCAGTCCACGGTTCTTGCCAACTACATTTTTTTAAAAATTTGTTGTCTAAGTTAGCGACGAGGCTGGAAAGAGCACCTTACAATATTGTAAACTGGCCACGCTTCCTGTTGTCATGCTGCCAAATAGTGAAAATGTGGTTATACGGAGTCATAAAATGTTACCAGACGTTTGTATACATTTAGCACAAATTTGCCCGCACCCTCCCCCCAGCATACAAAGGTCTGTAAAACTCTTCGTCTTTGAGAAGCTATGTCTCGCAATCTTTGCCATTTTACTAACATTAAAGTGCTCTCTCCATATTGACCATGTTACCTACTTGGGCAAGGTAATTGAGTTAAAAAACAAACAACCAAGAAAAACACTGAAAGGTATGTTGGGCGTGGGGTGAGGCACATCTTTAGCACCTGAAGCTATATCTAGTGAAAAACTGTAAGCTCCATGGGTTATTGACCAACCGTTAGGTCAAGATGGCTGGATCGGATATTGGCCAAGTTCTTGTTTGGCTTGTTTATGGACCAAGACAGAGTCGAAGTCCGTAAACACGCAAAGAAAAGAACAAGCTTGGTCAATAAAGGATGTCTTCATATATGGAAAAAAGAACACTATTTCCTTGCTTGATACAGCGGAATCGAAAATCCCAAGCTGACGAGATAGTGCCATCTTGCCCGCTCAGGTAGCCAATCTCAGCGCAGGATTCGGTTCATCTTACCCACTCACGGAGCTAACCATAAAATAAGACGTCTTATGGAAGAAGAAAACTGATTTTAAAGTTTGATGGGAGTTTGTCACCAAACAGTGAAGTGTGATGACATTAGTTTCGGTCATCAGTCGTTCCAGCCCATACGATAGAGGTGTAAGGCTTTCGTATCATTCCTTTTTTCCAAGTCAGTTGTTTTCTTAGCCGCTTAATGTACTTGGTAAATGTTGAATAATACGATCCCACGAAATGGTCAGCATGCGCACAAATGAGCTGCTCACACAAGCCTAACATGTCCTGAGTGACAGCAGGGTTTACGTTTCCAAGTCGCAACTGATCACTGAAGTCTTCAGCGAAAAATAAATTGTACCCTGCTTCACTAAAAGGTTTAAACCAAGTTTTGTCTCCTTCGTCGGTGGCAATGTAAAGAGTTTTTGTTAGATTCACTGCATCTCGCATGTTTAGTTGCTGTAACCAATACTCCTGTTTTATGTGAAAACTTGTCGGATGATCGGTCCTGCGCACGTGCAATGCATTAAAAGGGTGACCCATCATTTTCAGGACATCCGCGACACGTTGTCGAATGTCCGGCGCGAAACGAATGTATCGCATTATCCACGCATGCGTGTTTAAAACGGTTGTCTTATCGAAGAAAAGAAGCTCTCCAATATACAAAGATCCTTCAGAGAAATACAGCATATCTTCCGTTCTGTTTGACAACTCATTCCAGATTCCCCACACAGGCCTAAAACTTGTGTTGCCATAATGTTTCAATTCTGTTTTGCAAATGCGGCGATAGAGTGGAAGGTCTCCATAGATGGGTCGATTTTCCATATGTCGCTGAAGGAGTTTCGATTTTTCTCCCTCTGTCTCCTTAGGAATGGTATCAACCCATATTCCTACCATCCCGTTGTGACAAACTCGATGCCATCTCAAATGTTTGTATTTCTCTAGAAACTCCACATGACTTGAAGTGACCTCTTTGACAGGAGTAAGTCTCGACAATTCTTTTAAGTCAATTACTTTAGATAATGGCAGAAGATTGACTTCAGGAAGCATGTTGTATATTTCATAACTTGCAGACATTTTACGCTTTCTTTTCAGTCGAAGTATTTCCTGGTGAGGTGCTAAAGGGCGAACAATAAGAGTTCTATTCAACAACTTGGCCAAAACAACCGCGTTTTCGAAGGCAACACGTTGGTTATTCCATCCCCCTACAGGTGGTTGATAAGACAGGTATTTCATTTCTTGGTTGTTTTCACATAACAGTCGCCCGTCAATATAAATTTTCTGTTCAGATAAACAAAACATTTCGCTCAGGGATGCAGTCCATAGATTCGAAGATTTGTGGGTAAATTTCATCATCGTGTATACAGTCACGAAAATTGAACAAGTAAAGATAAAACACAGGACTCTTTTCTTCAATAGCATAACCATCACAACACGCTGTTGACCTTTGAAGGCAACACATTTCAGTTTCCACATGATGATTCGAAGCATTGAAATAAACCAAGCGATGTAATACCTGCTTGCGTTGTTCTTGAGCGAATGGACCAAGTTGTTTCGGTTCAAATACAACGGTAAATAACGAGGCCTGGAAGGTTTCCTGTCCATTTTTCTGGTTCAAATGCTTCGTGGGTTTTGGAGAGTTATAACCGGAAGAAAATAGGTCAACCATGAAAAAAATTAACTCATCCATGACTTCATCACAGAGTTTGTCCCGGCTGCCGGGCTTTTCCTTGTGGTCAAATTGTTGTTTATGAATAACTAGACGGTACAGTTTGTGGTTAAAGAGAACACACACAGGTGTTTTACACACTATGGGACTTTTGCTTTCAAAGCCCGGGGCTGATCTCTGTCAACTCTTGAATTTTTTTTTTTTATCAACTTGAGGTTAATAAAACTCACCGCTGTCAAGAATCTCGATAGGTGACGCTTCGAGTTTTTCAGGTTAGGAATTAAATATCTTTTTGTCGGGTTTGAGTATTTTTCAGCCAATCTTGGTGATTTTCTGAAATCAAAGATTTTTAGAAATCCAAGATCGCGGCCAGCGTCGTTCCCAGGGCTTTTTCTTTAAAAATTCATGGGAACGAGGTTGCCAGATGGTGAATGCAAGATGGCGGCTGTTGACTTCGGAAATCAGACGTAATTTCCACGTCAAATGACGTCATATCAAATTTTCACTGCCGGTCTATAAATGAAACCCTAGCTTGCGTGACCATTGAGATGAAAGCTATTGAGCAATACTTTAATGTGGTACTGTTTATTATGCTGTACAAGTCGGTTTTAGCTTTTAAGTCTTTGGACGAAATCCTAGTCTGTGATCATTCAGATGAAAGCTACTAAGTAGTTCTGTCATGTACTTTTAGCTTTCTGGTGAAATTGCAGTGTGTCGACATTCAAATGAAAGCTTCTGAGAAGTACCTCTACGAGGCGTTTTTCTTCCGTGTTTTTGTATTATTTTAACTGATTTACGTTTGGAAATTTAGTTTAAACATATGGTTACACAATTGTTGATCTTATTTCTCACAACGAAAACCAACTATCGGTGGACTGGGCCCGAATTTTGGAAACGCTGCCCTACCCACTTTGGTTCCCCCCGCCCACCCCCTTTTGTCGATGCATTCAACAATTCGTGAAAGACATGAAACTGCGAGGAAAGCAGACGGCTGGTCTGTGACCAACTGTCTGGAATTGCCCGACTTTTTTGTAACGCTAGTTGCCCCACCCACTTTGTTTCACTAACCCGCCCACTCTTGCTGATGAAGTCAAGAATTAATGAGACTGCAAGAACAGTAGACGGTGACCGTCTATCTCGATCCTCCACGAGACTAGGCTTGCTTTTCTTTGTAAATGACTATTACCCTGTTTTTTTGGTTTAATTTTATAGCAAGGCGTAAATTTGCGCGATTTTGTGGCGGTTTTTATTCACAGGCGACCATCATAACAAAAACAAAACAAAACAAAAGCAAAAATAAATCAAAAACAAAACAAAACAACACAAAATATTCCTAGTGGAAACGTCGAGTACTAGTAGATATCAATCATTTTCCACCTCTTTTCCGAAAGTTATGCAAAAATTTACTTAGGCGGGAGTTTTCAGTTGTCTCCAAACTAGAAAATGTATTAAATATCCTATGTTGCGCATCCAGGTGCCCGAAAAAATAACATTTGATTAGTCAGAATCGGCGAGTTCTTCGAAATCTTACTCTACTTTTAATGACAATTATTTGACCGCTTCACATTAAAAAATGTATATTACTAGTGGGCAAATTTGTTGGGATCCTCAACGCTGATTCGCAAAAGATCTACACTTGCCAAATTATTTTTAAGCCATATTTGATGCCACAGCGATTCTTGTTTTTATGCAAAGAAACGAAAAGCATGCTTTCGCATACACAATGGTCGAGACCAGAACACAGATGGCCACGGCCGTTTGTCTTCTTTACTTAGGGAATTCATCAACAATAGTGAGTGGGTTAAAAGATAAAAAGGTTGGCCGAGCAGTGGTGCGATCGCTTAGCAGCAGTTGTTTGCCTGCAATCCAGGTCTAGCGGGTTGGCTGTCTAATTACGTCATCCAATGTAAACAGCTGGAAAGATGTTTCTATGATCTCATGGCCTGGTCTAACCGGGTAACATGAGAACGCGCGGCGCAAAGAAATGGTCTTTTGCGCCTCGCTAAATCTTTGCTTTGCGCTTTTTGTGTTGTTCTTTACCATTATTATCACTCTAGGATGCTGTTCATGTTGGTTTGATTACTACTCTATGACAGTGGTGGAGCGAAGCAAAGACAACGAGAATTGGTAAGCGCGGAAGGCTTCGTTTACAAATATAAAATCAAAGCGCCGAGACCACTAGTCTAGATCGAAATACCATAATAACAAGATTATTCGCTTTCAATCTTGCAGCCAAATACAAATAGAAGACGACAACGTGAAGCCCATTTCCAAGTGAACAAAAAGATTAGCCAAGAAGAAAAATACTTAACAGGTAACAAATTTTTTTTCCTCTGGGTGAGTGTCATGCTAATCTTGTAACTTGTCAGGTAAGGGCGATTTTTTAGGCCAATTGAAATAACTATTTTAAAATCACGATCACTGGAGCTGTTTCTTGAGTCCTAGTTCTTGTTTTATGCCGCATTTCTCTTTGAAAGTTCTTAAAAGCCTTGTGAGAACTATATTCCGTGAGGATTATCTTACGTTCATGGGTGAGCGATCAGGAGTGTTAACATCAGTGTTTCCGGGAATGAGACAAAACCTGCCATAGACCTATACACTAAGCCATAAAAGGACTTGCTTTTTGCAACCTGCTACATGAGAGCAAACCTATCGCCTTGCGCGTTTTATTCCACCTTTGTTTATGACAGAAAGTCTAGGAGCAGTCTGAAAAGGGTTCTGCGGTTTATTTTGTTGTTATTATCGAGCGATAGATTTGTAAGGGAGAATCTCGATGGAGTTCCTAGTACAGTGTGAACGGAACGAGGTCTGTATTCAAGATTCTCTCCTATAGACCAACCAGACTCGAGATTTACATGATGTTGATAGATTGTAATTATTTTATATCGCCAAACAAGAAAACGTTACATTTTGCTCAAGAACTCGAACACTGAAAAAGGCCAGCCCTAATGGCAAGTGTATATACAAATTTTCATTTTGTCTACCCGTTTAAGTCGCTCTTATAGTTTTGTGTTTTCTTACTGCAAGGCTCGCAAAAATCTCTTAATTGTGTTCGAAGTTTGGGTAACGCTATCCAGCGGACAAATCGCTATCCAGCGGATAAGTGTTAACAAATCAAACCACGCTATCCACTGGACAACGATTTATCCGGTGGATAGAGTTATCCACCTTTCTAACTATCCGTGCCTGGTGTTTTGCAAGAGCTAACCTTCGATTTGCCAAAGTTTGCTTGGCGACTTTACAGCCTTTCTGATTGAGTCAGTATAGTAGATGTTCCATCTATGGCTTTCAGAAGCCACTGCATATAGCCACAGTGTTTGTAAATATTGTAACTTTTAGGCGGCAAATGCTGCAGTTAGAATGATTCAGCTGCCGGATAAAGTGGGAGAAATCTGGAATTCGATGGATAAAATACTTATCATCAATATCGTTTTAAGCCAATCGTATTCGCAAATTTGGCAGTTTCTAGCGGTTGCGAGAATCGGGCAATTAGCCTGAAATGAATAAATGATTAATTTCAATCTGTACCACAAAGAAAGTAGAGTATAACTGAGGTTCTAACTAAGCTGGATCTTACCCCTGTCTCCCACAAAGGTGCTTAAGTCTAACATCCCCCCAAAATTCGAAGTGGATTATTATGGAAAATAATTTTGGCCTCTCACTAAGGATTTGTTCAATAGCTTTGATTCATTTCATGCATGAAAATATCTCCAAGAAATTGAAATGGGTCACACAATAAGTCTTTATAAACAGATGTAAAATTATAACCACAGTATTTCAGTGAAGGTTTTTACCTTCAATCGACAAATGTTTCTGTTGTCGATACCTTGAAGCGACAAATCAGCGAGGGGCACGGTGTACCATCACTAGTTTAAGCAAAGTAGATGAGAAACAAAATTCTGTTTTCAAAACAGGTAATGCCATTAAATTCATCTATCTCAATTCACATATACCTACAAATTACCCGCCAACCATGATTTTCTTGCAAACTATAGTGAAGATTCAACATACCACATGCGCGCAAGTTGATGAAAGTGTTGGTAAAAATATGTCACCTTACTTCGAATAGAAATTAAAATCCCAAGGAATTGGTGCTAATTGAATTTTATCGCAAAGGATTTCAGTTCGAAGACTTTTTTGTTTGGATAACAAAGGTCACGGATTGTTTAATGTCAACTTACGCTTTCAAAAGGTTAATTTTTCTTATTTCTAGAATTAGACTATAGAATTGGATATATATCGAGATTTGGCTCAAGGATGCGAGTTTGCAAACAACATTTTCCATTATATATGAACGAGAATTTCATATTCTACTTCCCATGTCGAAGCTTCTTTTATGAAAATTAAGCATAAATTAAGCTAAAGAAAGCTTTTGAGGCCTGAGTTGTTATTCTTAGAATAGTCAATTTATTTCATCATATCTGAGAGTGGAAACAGAGTGACCACCTATCGAGACAAACTGACCCCACCTGTTAAAAGATAACACGCTACCACGTACAACAGAAATAGAACACTCGCTCGAATGGCAATAACAAAAGCCAAACCAAGTTTACATATTTTCGAGAGTCCATTGAGTTATCCGCGAACATGACGGCGAGAAAAGGTGTGTGAAATAGAGTGGTCATTTGCCTTTTTTCGTCAGTTACTTTTTTGCTTAATCATTGTCTTTGTGGCTGGCCATTAGCCACATTCATTCACTGTGTTTTTCATTAACTACGTTAGTTCGGTTATCAAGGAGTCGTTGTATTAGTTATCACAATAACAATCCACAAAGTTGTGTTGTATTCCATGATAACTTTTCTTTTGCAAAATTCAACGTAATTTATATTTGAATCATGTGAACAACAATCTCAATTTCCTCCCGCAGAACTAACATTTTATATTAATTTGCGTCACAGAAATTAAATTGCCACTACATTTTGTTAGCTTTGTTAAGTGCATGAAGAAACCTGCGTGTAACTATCGTGTTTACTTTTGAAAACGATGTTGTTTAGTGTGAAGAAATTGGTACAAAAAAAAAAGATTTTCTTTTGTCATAAAATGCAGTATAGTCTCGTTACTCATCTAGCCTTGAAAAAGTTTATTTTTGCTTGACAACTGTCAAATCAATATAGTTGTCTTAATGGTTAACGGGTTGAATTGTTTAAAAGTCTAATGTGTTATAATTTAAAGCAAGTAGCTTTGTCAAGGCATGTCTTGTTTACCTTATGAACGCAAAAGTGACAGAGAGATATTTGCCAAGATGGCACAAACGTTTATAGTGCCCGGCTTAATCGTGACCGAATACCACTGATAATAACAATGGACACTGCTTATTCTAAATTAGTACTTCCTATGCAAATCATATTAGCACGGTTTCATGCGAAGACATCAATGATCATCACAGTTATATACACAACTTAAGCAGTTGTGAAACTAAAGCCTGCGAAAAAAAAATTTTCAGGCTTTAGTATCACAACTGCTTAAGTTGTGGATATAACTACGTTGATCATTGATGTGTCTTCGTATCTTTCTTCAAGGGATCAAACATATGATATTTCATATATTCACTGGCAAGGTGTCATGTGATGAAAGCCTAGTTAAAAGTTCTCAATTTTTTTCCTGTATAGGTTGCTCTCACTGTCTAAGACCAAGTACAGCTCCTAGCCTTCCATTGAACACCAAACAGTCGAAGCGAAGATCTTCATTCAATAGACTTATTGTCCTTTGTATATTGTATGCACTGTGCTGGATAAAGCCTATGGCGCATGCGCACCACTGGATACCGAAGAAACACGAAATGAATCACAACGTCCATGTTGGACTGCCATACATCGTAAGAGGTGAACCGTTTTCACAGAAAATGCGCTTTGAAGTGGTTTATGACGACAGCATCGGCGATTTAGATGAAGAGAAATATGGTTTAATTACAGGAAAACTCATACCCGAGGCAGTGGATTACTTTCATGAAGCTTTTAGCGTAAAACCTACCAGACTCCCCGTAAAACTACAAAGAACTTGTAAAAACAATGCGTACTTTCTGAAGGACATCAAAGGCGACAAGGCGGGAGATGTTCAGTTTTGTAAGCTAGATTGTGTTAACACGCAGTGCGGACCTGTAAATGTACCTGCTGACCACTTGGATCAGTGTCGCGTGTGTGACGAAAAAGGTATCAAGTGTTTTAATGTCCCGGGTGAAGAGTGGGAGTCTGGAATGGGTGTGGACTCACGGGATTTTATACTGTATGTGTCTTGTATTCAAACGGATCACTGTAATCTTGCCAATGCTGTTGCATATGCCTCCTACTGCCAGCAGGAGCATGCTCTTGATCGACCTGTTGCTGGATTTGCGAACATTTGCCCCAATCGCCTCGACACAGACCCGAGACACTACCCGAATCTTTTGTCAACTGTGAAGCACGAAATATTTCATGCGCTGGGATTTAGCGCGGGACTTTTCGCATTTTACAGAAATGAGAACGGCGTGCCTTACACGCCGAGAGAGAAGCATGGTTTACCTCCGTATAACGAGAAGTACGGGCTGTATCAATGGAATTCAAAGATCGTGAAAAAGGTGGAACGAAAAAACTGGGCAACACGACACGGAGACATCACGCATCAAGTGCACATGATTGTTACTCCTCGAGTAAAAAGGGAGGTACGAAAGCATTTTAACTGCCCGAGCTTAGAAGGAGCAGAGATCGAGAACCAAGGAGGGGTGGGAACAGAATACACGCATTGGGAAAAGCGTTTGTTCGAAAACGAAGCAATGACTGGCACATACACACAGAATCCAGTTTTCTCAAGGATTACGTTTGCCCTGATGGAGGACACGGGATGGTATAAAGCTAACTACAGCTTGGCGGATGAACTTGACTGGGGAAAAGAACTCGGCTGTCTTTTTACTAAGGCAAGCTGTAAAACGTGGATGGAAAAGCACCTACGGAAAAAGAAATCTGCGGTTCCTTTCTGCTACGCCATAAAGAAAACTCCACTTCATATGCGTTGTACGCACAGCAAGCTGTCAGTAGCTTTGTGTAATCTTCGTAAGTACAACAGGGCTCTCCCGGAGGAGTACCAATACTTCAATCATCTGCCAATCAGTGAAACGAACCCAGATGAAGATGAACCAGTTGGTTTAGTTATTCGAGACACAGCATCTTATGGTGGTGCTGTTCCTTTAGCGGATTACTGTCCATTTTACCAGAAGTTCACGTTAACAGGGACGGACGGCGCGAGACGCGAGACTACCTGCACGATGGAAGAAAACGCTCCCGCCATGCTTGATAACTACGCTTTGGAACATTACGGTCCTGGCACCAAGTGTATCGAGCAAGGGCGGGAATGGCTGGCAAAGAAAGGCTATTTAACAAGAACAATGGTAGATTGGGGAAGCGGGTGCTACAAATATCATTGCGATGGAGGGTTACAAGTGGAAGTCGCAGGAGAGTTTTACACTTGTCATCATAAGGGACAACATCTTGACATCTCTGGTTCACTGAACGACTGGAAGATAAATGGATCACTGATTTGTCCTTCATGCGAAGAATTCTGCGGCGCTCACAAAGGATGCCCTCAAGAAGTTAAAAGCCTTTCAACAGGAATTGCGTTTGTAGAAGGGGAGAGACCAGATCACAAAAATACTGCACAGAGTTTAACGAAGTCCTCGGTAGAACTCTACTATTTAATAATTTCGAGAATCCTTCTCGCATTTAGCCTAATTATCTTTCTCGTGCCGGACTTCAATTGTATCAACATTTTCAGCTGAAACCAAACTCACAAGACTTAACTACAAAGAATATAGTTTTGATATTAGTTAGGTATGATTTGAAGTGTGGCAGAGATGTCTAGATAAATAAATACGATGAGAGGGAGAATTTACTGTGCCTTGCCCAGTGCTGTGATTCCCAAGTAGGACGGAGCAGTTGTTCACTGCTAGGTCTGTGGATAACTCGATCTGGCAGTGAGTAAATGCTTTGAACACCCATGAAATTAAGTGTAGTGATTCCATTTCAACGGTAAAAAAGGTGGCTAAAGTATATATACACAGAAAACTGGATACATATAACGAACACGTGTCTACTTGGCAACCTGACTCAAAAGTCAGCCTACAATAGCTGCGCTTAGCTTGTTTAAAAAATAATGGCCGCAAATTGTAAAAACTGACCACTAAAACATTTAATTTTAATATCGAACAAGTTGAACGAATGGGAAATTAAAGGACAATAGACAGGCCTTTACTCCTGGCCTGTAGGCAAAGGACCAGGGCAAGAAATCAAGGGCTTTTCAAT